ATGGGAAGAAGCAAAACAGATCCAGAGGTAGGAAAGGAAGCTGGTAAGGCACTGCTGAGGGGCAGCCACCCTTGGAGACGCCCAGGTCCACACAGAATGGGAGTGCTCCACGTGACCTGAGAGAGCGCAGGGACAGAGCTTGGGAGGAGCTAGGAACGGGAAGGGTGGTGGAGCCTGGCCAAGGTGCTTCCCTAAGGGGTCAGGAGCGTGCTGGGCACACCAGGCCTTCCTCGCGCTAGCTCTCTTCTCGGCCTCCCAAGTCTACCAGTGGGAAGACAAAGTTCCATGAAGATGTTCTTGTCCAGCCCCCATGGTCTGTGATAAGTGGCAATTTTGAGTTTCAAACTTAGCCATGTCCTCTCGACACCTTTACAAACACACGCACTCACTGCACCCGGCGCCCACCCCAGCTCCTTCAGGCATGGCCTGGATGGTCAGCAGGGGGCACTAGAGTCCCCATGGTGAGATGGCCTCTTTCTCACTTGTCGCAGGTTTCCTCCACTGACCAAGGATGGGGTTTGGGGTTGCCAGAAGGAAGCATTAACAAGGCGCGTGGGAGGTAAGAGACGCGAGGAGGGCACACCGCCCTGGTGCCGCTCCCTTGCCCATCGCTCACCAGAGAGCTGGACACTCCCTCTCCCAGGTTGCCCACACCCGGCCCCTGCCGTTCACCAGGCCACCAGAGCCCTTCCTCCACGAGGTGTTTCTGGGCTGGCTCCTTGGAGGCTCTCAGCTTTATCTCCTGCGCCCAACCCAGGGCCAGCCGGTCATGGGCTTCGCAAATGCTCACAGATATCTTGCCCTTGATTTTCCTGGTCAGTTCCAACCTCAGGGCACTGTTATGCTTTGGCACAAACTTACTGAAAAAGCCCCCAAATCATAACTACCACATCTGGCAAGCTGCCCGCCTGTCACACTCGGAATGGCCCTAAAACCTTGTTTGGCCAGTGTGCCCAGACTGGGGACAGGCCATTGTCACAGAATCTGTAAGGGAGCCCTGCCAAGCTCTGGGGCCAGGCTTCTAGTTTCTAGTCTCCCTTGGCCTACCACGAATCCTGGTCACACCGGGCATTAGGGGGCGATGCACTCCGCTTTCCAGTTCAGCGCATTTGATCGCGGCATCCCAAGTTCTATGGAAAGTCCAGAACGCCACCGCAGACCGAGACTAAAGCTCTCCAGGCCCTTCCTCCTCCAGGGGCAGCCAGCCGTCCAGCGACCCCAGCCTGTCTGATGCCAGTGGCCAGCCCTGCTGACGTTTCCCTGCACTTACATGCTTCTCAGGATCTGTCCAGGGCAGAGGGGCCATGGAGGGCTCTGCCTGCCTCCGTCCACCCCAGGCCTGAGCTGCTCACTGGCTCCCCTCCCCCGGACACGGCACCAGAGGCCCCAAGGCCCTGCCTAGGCTTTCACAACCACCAAGGGCACGGGGAACATTCCCCATGGAAGGCTCTGGGGCAGCTTGGAACCCCTCTCGCGGGCACTGTGCAGGACCTGACACCCTGGACGGGTCCACCAGGCAACCTCTGTGGTGTGTGACCAGAGGGCTGAGACCCAGAGAGAGGGAGACAGAGGGAGAGAGACCTGTGCTCACATCTCCCACGGAGGCCCCCCAAGGAGCCGCCCATGCTGAGCTTCCACTGCGGGAAGTCAACCACTGGCCCCCTCTAAGTGAGGCCCGTTCAGATTTAAAAGTTGCTTTCTAAGGGTCACATAAGTCCTTTACCAGCCTTGGCTTTTAGATGAGGAAGAAAAGGGGCCAAGAGGTGAAGCCCCCCAGCCTGAGGGGTAGCAGCTCTGGGGGAAGGCTGGACAGGACCACAGCTCACGTCTCGCACAGTGGACCCTGGGGGCCAAGAATGCTCCTTCACGTCAGTGACTGGTCACCACAGCTCACACTGCACTCCATGGTCCCAAAGGGGACCAATGGGGTGGCAAGCAGGTCACAGCCTCCTATGGCACGAATGGGGCATCCAGGCGGGTCCTGACTTCCACACCCAGCACTGGGGTCCCCCCTGGCCTATAACTCCACGACAGGGGCCAGCAGAGGAGAAAACCCTAACCAGACATGCCCATGTGTGTGGCAGGGATGGCCCCACACCACAGGGCCCCACGAGCCAGTGTCCGGTCTCCCCGGCTGAGAGCTGAGGGACCTTAGTGCAGCCCGTCACCCAGAGGGGCCGCAGCAGAGCGGAAGCCAGTTTTACTTGAAAGGGCCTCTGTCCCCTTACTTGGGGTACCCCGAGGAAAACACAGGGGTGCTCACTCTCCCCTCCCTGCCTCCCCTTCTCGAGCACCCCCTGGGGGCTCATTACCTATGATCCCCGACTCTGACCAGCAGGCAAGCTTGAGGCCACGTTGCAGAGACAGAAAGGGCCCCACGTGGCCCAGAGACTGACCCAAGACCACAGCACTTGGAGGGTCAGGACCAGAGAGGCTGAGGTGGAAGCTCACCCCGCTGTGTCCCAGCCCAGGGCCTGCCCTCTCCACGCAGCCCCTCAGACCTGGACACCAGTCCCAGTCCGAGTCTCTGGGACGAGAGGCGTGCGCCCCCGCACCTGCCCCGGTGCTGATGTTCTGCACACGCGCCTACAGTGCAGGGAATGGGGTCTCCGTGGGTCACTGTCCTCCCAGGTGCCCGCACAGACCTGGATGCCAGAGGAAGGCCACTGAAGACTCGCCTTCCCTTCACCCAGCACTGCTGGCGGGGGTCGATGCAGGGGTGCTCACCTGCACCCCACTAGGGCCAGTGAACAAGCAGAGGGAGGCCCTTCCCCACAATCATGGGTCACCTAGGGCAACCTGGAAGAGGACCCCACCACAGCATCTGGTAGGTCCCCAGGAGCCCAGGGACCTGCCCAGGCCAGCTGACCTGGAAGTGGCTGAGCTCAGTGAAGCGCACTCTGAAGCTAAGATCTTTCCAGAAGACACCCAGCACGCCCCCAGCTCCAGTCCTTGCCAGGGAGGGGAGCAGCCCCAGGTCCCCCACCTTTCCCAGCTCCATCTTTCTCCCCAGCCTCTGAGCAGGCCACTGGGTGGCGCAGGTGGTAATAAGATGACAGTCACTGAGCATCCTCCTCCCCCTCCCATCTTTACGGGGGGTGGGGGTGGGGCTCAATCCCCGCCCTTTCTAGAGAGAATGGCAGAGGCCCTGGCTGCCAACCTGCCCTGGGTGGAAACCGCCCAGCTCTCTGGCTAAACACCTGATTCACTGCACGCATGTCCTGTGCTCCCCACCACCCGACTGGGCTCCCCTGACCTTCACTGGCAGCTGGCCGACCCAGGCTGCCCCGGCCAGGTGGGGGCTGCCCCTCTTCAGTGCCCCCCACTCTCTTGGAGCCTTGGTCTTGGTACTTTGGCACTGGGGGTTGAACGGGGTGCTCTACCACCGAGCCACATCCCAGCCCTTTCATTTTGACCCAGGCCTTGCCAAATCGCCAAGGCTGACCTGAAGCCTGTGCTCCTCCTGCCCAGCCTCCCGAGTCTCTGGGATCACAGGTGTGCACCACTGCACCTGCCTAAGCACTGGTGTTTCACACACACACCTAGAAGCCAGTGCAGGGGACAGGGCTTCTGTGGGTCACTGCCCCACAAGTGCCTGCACACAGCCAGCCCCACAGCAATGGCTTCCCCCAGCACCGAGGGTAGCAGTGGTTTCCACAGTGCACACCAACAGGGTGCAGGGTGACTCTGCCCCTGGCAGACAGTCTCAGTGAGTGAGGCCAACCTGCCTGTCCTCAGCTTGGGTGACACCATGACCCCTTGGGCACCTGCTCTTCTTTGGGTTTGGTGGCTCTGGGTGTGTTGGAAGTCCACATTGCAGCCATGGCTGGCCTTCCTGAGTCCTCAGACTCAGAGGCTGACACAGGCCTGGGACACGGTGAACTCACAACGAGAAGTGGCTGCACAGCCTCGAAAGACGCACACGGACTTCTCAACGTCTCAGAGAAGCGCTGCCACAGCCCACCAGCCACCGCACAGCCCACCAGCCACCGCACAGCCCGCCAGCTACCACGTAGCCCACACGCTCTGGGATGCCACCCGCTTGCAAACCCCGGGTGGAGTGGCTTTCCCCTGGCAGGGCCCAGGAAGCACACAAGAGGCTGTGTTTTCAAGTGACAAAACACATGCTGGGTAGGCACAGCAGCTGGGGGAGTCCCAGGCCACGGCCAAAAACCAGCACAGCCAGGCCTCGTGGAGGGCACTGGGGCCTGTGCATCGTCAAAGGAAGACACTGTCCCTGGAGCAGGAGAGGTGCAGGCCAAGAGCCCAAGACAGGCCCAGGGTCAGGAGGTCGCAACTGGGAGCCAGGTGCTGGGGGCCCAGGTGCTTAGCCAAGCGCCCGCCCCGGGCAGACAGGGCTCAGGAGCTCACACTCCCGGGCTGGCCCAGCCTGGAGCTTCCCTGAGGCTCATGACTCTGAATGACACTCTGAGTAAAATCAGGGGTGATGGTGGTCCAGGCGAGAACCCCAGCCTGGGGGTCCTCGAGACCCACCCCATGGACACGTGGTGGCCAGGGATAGAGAGAGCTGACAATGACACGTGGCCACACAGCCCCAGGTCTAGGACGCAGAATCTTCCACACTGTTCCCACCTGCCACTCTGGCTTTTAGGGGGTCACACCATCACAACACCCAGCAAGTCACACTGGGTCGTGACTTCCAACTGTCAGTCATCGCCACCAGCTCCACTGCCTCAGGGCCTGTTCCCGCATCTGCACATTACGAATGAGGAGACAGAGGCCCAGAGAGGTTGCCCACGGCTCACCCGGGACGCCGGAGGGCTGAGGATCTGCCTGGCCCGGTGCACAGGCTCCAGGACCCTTTGGTCTCTTGAGACCAGTGTCACCCGCCACTGGGGGTCTAAGAACCAGAATTCAGCTGATCCTCATGTCCCCACTGGAGGGCACCGAGGTGGCAGCTCCTTGACCACCCACCTGGGCCACGAGCGGGGCCCCAGGAGGTCGACACAGACAGAGGACAGCAGGCCCCAGGGACTTACGTGTCTGCGGAGCGGCGGTAGTTCTCGGGGCACTCGAAGGCCAGGCAGCGGAAGCCTCCCTGGATGTTGAAGCAGGTCTCGTTGATGGAGCAGTTGTGGATGCCGGTCACACACTCGTCAATGTCTGCGGGAGACCCCGGGCAGCACGGTCAAGGCAGAGGCCAGAGGAGCTGTCCCCACCCCAGAGGGAGGTGCCAGGCCTCCCACCAGCCAGGGCGGGACGGGCATCACACCACCCTCACCCTCGGCTGCAGCAGCACCTGGCACCAGCTCCTTCTTCTACGGGACACCTGGGGGGCTTTGGCTCAGGCTCTTGGCCCCTGGGCGGAGGGAGCATAGGAGGGGGACAACTCGGGGCAGCGGTGCTGTGGCCGTCTTGGCTTGGGAGAGCTCGCAGAGCCTGGGGCTGCCCAAGGTCACCCTGCTGTAAGTGGCAGAACTGAGCTCAAACCAGGCAGCGGGGCGCCAGCGTCCAGCACTGACCCAGCCCTCTGCATGCCCTCCCCTCACATGGGGCGAGTTACCTCCTAGGAGGGACGGGGCAGGCCACCAGCCCGGGAACAGACAGGACACCAGGCAAGGGGTTAGGGGCCCTGAATGCCCTGTGTCCTGGGGGTGTGACTGGTGGAGGGGACAGCTGGGACTCCTGCTGTGGGGCACCACCATGAGAGGCCCTGGGGTAGGGAGCCCCTGTTATCCCAGAGAAGCTGAATGTTGGGGCTCAGGGACGTCACAGAGCCTGGGAGGCATCTGCGACAAGGTGCCAAGTGCCTGGCAAAAACGACTTCCCCGATCAATCAGCTCAGGAGTGGAATTTTGCTGTGTCCGGGGGGACCCCAGGCTGCAGTGGAGCATCCGGCCAGGAGTCATAAAAGCGAAGGATCCCATCCAACCCTAGATGCTCTAAGTAGTTTCTTGTGGGAAACGTGGGGCTCCTGCCCCCCTTTGGTGGGTCATCTTCATGACCAGACACCGGGCCAGGGGCTGGGCTCAGCTCCAGGGGCCATTGCTGGGGGGCCCACGCACAAGCCAGGACACACGCCCAGACACTCACGAGAGCTCGCTTAGCCCCTCTCAGTCATCAAACGGAAGGTCATGGATGCAGGGGGCCCAGCACCCGCAGAAACGGATCAGAGCACAGAGTGGGCCCCACCAGCCCCCATTGGCCCATGCTAGAGCTGGCCCGGCCCACCAGACCCTCAAAGCCACCTGTCCACAGACACCGCACACACCTGACCACAGCTAGCGCCTCGGGACAGAGGCCTCTGAGACCTGTTTTGGCCCAGGCCTGGCCCACAGCCAGGTTTTGTCCAGAGACCCAGTGAAAGGTGGCACCAGAAGCCCCAGGCTACAGGGCAGGGACTGCGGGTTTCCAGCCTCCAGGGCTGAGGACCCAAAGATGAAGGTGCTGGGGGCCCAGGTGTAGGAGACCAGGGAACCGGTGGACCCCAGAACACGCCCTCCCAAGGCACCGCCTGTGCCACGGCCCACAGGTTGGGGAAGGACAGCCCTCCAGCCCGGCCTTGGCACCCTGGTGTCACAGAGCCCAAGCACAGTCCTAGGACACTCCCACAGCTCACCTTGGCAGTTGCGTCCGTTGGGGGCCAGCCTGTAGCCGGATGTGGGGCAGCTGCACTGGAAGCTTCCGGGTACGTTGATGCAGCGGTAGGAGCAGATGTGGCCCCCGGTGGGCAGGGCACACTCGTCGATGTCTGCAAGGGCAGAGCCACTCTCAGCATCCCGGGCCCAGCCATGGCCCCAACCCCAGGGGCCAGGCTGGGCTCCATAGGAGAGCCACACTGGGTGAGCTGGACAGAGGCCTCAGGGTGCTAGGGCTGGGTGGCCTCAGAGACCATCCAGACAGAAGGGGAAACTGAGGCACAGAGAGGGGATGCCTCAGATCCCAGGGCAAGTTCCCAATGTGCAGTGTGCAGGCAGGAGGACAATCAGAAGCACTTCCCCTGAAAACACAGAGTGAGCTCCCCTCAGCCAACAAGCTTGGGCCCCCAGCATTTCAGATGTGCCTCCATATTACACAGTGGGCCACCTTGGGGTCGGAGGCCAAGTCTGAACATCGGGTTCACTTGCGTCACCTGTGCAGCTGCACCCATCACCCAAGAGGAGTTTGTACCAGGTCTCCAGCACACCTTCAGGCCACGCCCACCACCTGCAGGCCACGCCCACCACCTGCAGGCCACGCCCACCACCCGAGGCCAAGGTGGACCTTTCCCCGGGGCACCAGGTGAGTGCTCAGGGAGCTTAGAATTCGGGTCAGGGAGGCTCGCCCTGGAGCAATGAGCCAGTCGCCCTCCAGCCCCCGTGTGCTGGGAGTCCTTGTCTGGGTCGATGCTCCAATAGCCTGGCACGGGGACCAGCCCCTTGTGACAGAGCAGACTGTCAGGCCCCACGAGGGGGACAGAGCCAGGACTCTAAGGGCTGTCCGTCTTCTGAGGGCTGCCAAGAGGGTGGTGGCCCCTGAGGCCCTCCTCACCTCTCAGCCAGGTGCCACCACCAAGCCCTGTGACCTGCGGCTCACGGTCTCGGCACACGGACCCGTGACACCCGCAGGGGCATCAGAGCACCACGGGGAGGGGTCTGCTGCCTCCTGCACCCTCACCCCCCACCCGGGAAGTGTCCTCAAGGAAACCTGAGACGGAGGTTGAGGAACGAGGCACGCAGCCTCCCAGGGCCGGGGGGAAGGGCCGCGGTGGATGGGGGAAGGCCGGGAGTCTCCCCAGCACGGGGGCACCCTCACCTTCGCAGGTGACCCCGTCCACGTCGCTGAGCTGGTAGCCGCGCCGGCAGTAGCACTGGTAAGAGCCGTAGACGTTGGCGCACTCCTGGCTGCAGGGACTGCTCTGACACTCGTTCACATCTGAAAGGACAGGCCCGGGTCCCTGTCACCGCTCATGCCATCACAGCTGCCTCCCGACCCCTCTCCACCCCCCACACAGAAGCCAGGTCTCGGGCACATGGCCAGCAGCCTGCCTGGGGTCACCCCACAGGAACAGGGAGAAGGGGAGAGAAGCCCCCTGCCAGCCTCTGCCACGCCCCAGTCAGGCCATCTGCCCCAGGACAGTGGTGACAGCCCTGAGGGCAGGCCCCATCAGGCACCAGAATCTGCTCTGGGTCTCCAGTGGGAACCTGAGCCTGTGCTCCTCCTCGCCTCCCGGATGTCATCCTAAACAGATGATGGCACGTGGGACCCAGGCCCTGGGGCAAAACTGATACTCCAACGTCACTCAGCTGATGTCTCACTGGTCCCCTCTGCCTAGAGCAGAGATCAGTGGCCATGTGACACCCAGCCCACTGTGGGCTTGGTGAAGATGGGCTGGAACACAGCCACCTCCTCTTACTCTGACCAATGGCTGTTTCTGGGCCGCTGCAGCAGTAGTGGGGTGGTGACGAGAGAGACTGTGGCCAGGACGGCCTAACAGTCACCTGAGGGAGGAGCACTGCCCACCCCAGGCCCAGAAGGTGCCTCTCAGGTTGACTTCCTGCGACTTTGGGGCAGGGCAGGAGGCAATGGCCATTCGCCTCTCACCCGGGCTTTCATCTCTGCAGCCCCCACTGCCCTCAGGGCGCCCCTGTCCACCTGGGCCCAGGGTGGTTTCCCACCGCACCCTCGACATGCTTCCTGGTGCAGGAACCGGGTTCTTGCTCCAGGCCTGGGCAAGGCGCTTTATAAGTGCTTAGAGAGGCGGCTCGGCAAGGCTGGCCGGGCCCTGCTCACATCCATAGTATTGTCCGGTAGCAAAGGTGTGGATGTCTGCTCTCCAGTGCCTTAGGAATGGCCAGGGGAAGCATGAGCCAGCCACAGAGGCAACACAGCCGTCTCCACGCGTCCAGCTCTTGGTCCTGTGCCGGTGATGAGCTCATCACATGATTCAACTCCTTTCCCCCAGGAGACCCCCACAGTCAGGTCAGTCCTACTGTCCCTGTTCACAGAGGAGGATGCCAACCCAGAAATGTGAGCTACTTCCTCGAGGCCACACAAACGTCAGGACTGGGATTGGAGCCCAGGCCTGAGAGAAGCCTGGCTCAGGAACCGTGTTCCAATGCACACGGGGGTTGGGTCCGGTTCCTGGGGACACATCCCAGAACTCTCAGGGAAGCCCAAGACCCATCACACCACCCATGATGCAGTGTGAGAATCGTGTACCGGGGAAGATGCCCAGCCCCCTCCTTGGGCCGTGTCATTGGAAAGGGCACCTTTTTCTTTTTGTGCAGCACTGGAGATGGAGCCCAGGGCCTCACGCGTGCCCGGCAAGTGCTCCCCAGAGCCACTTCCCGGCCAGGGAGCCTCCTTAATTCAGACTTTGAACCTGCCATGCTCCAGAGAATCTTGCTCCCTGGGTCACTGCACTGCAGAGCAGGGCACGGCGGGCACTGTGAGGCACTGGCAGGGCCCGTCCAAAGCGTTCCCAGTCCCTGCATGAGATGTGGCACCTCTAGAGCACCTACCACGGGCCAGGCCCTGGCACCGGGGCAGACAGCTCAGCAGGCAGGAGACGCTGTTTTCTGAGCACACAGAAACGTGCTCAAACACGGGGGCTCTGCCAGCCCCACCTCAGCAGACTTGGCCAATTTTGGCACAGCTGCTACCAGAGCACGGCTGTGTCCCCACAGTGAAGACCCCACACCCCTTCCAAGCCCCTGCCTGGGAAAGCCCACGTTGCTGGAGGAATGTACTCTTCCAGCCGAAACGCAGCAGCCGTGGCCCGACCTCCCCGTGCCGCCTTTCCCTTCAGAGAACCCTGCAACGTAAATCCTCTCTGCCCCTTGGACACGGACCTTCCAGGGCCCAGAAGCACCTGTTCAAGGACCCAGGAACCTTTCCCATGGACCCTCATCCTCAGGAAGCTAAGACCTGCCTCCAGTCTGTGGGTGGTGTTGGGGTCTGCACTCCACTGGGCGAGCAGCGGCAGCTGGCCAATCCCAGAGGGCACCGTGGGACCCGGCCCTCTTGCCCTTGGTGCCAAACTGTTTAAAAGCTTCGCCATCGGCCTCGTGGGCAGTCTGAATATGACCCGTTCCAGGTCTCTACGTGGTGTCTGGCTTTTGCTCCTCTTTGGCATGTCAACCCATTTCCCCTGTGAGGACAGTTGTCCCCAAGGTCACCAACAGGGGCCCTTGGTCTCTACATCCCGTGCACACAGCCACATCCCGACAACCTCCAAGAATGGAGGTTCCTGGAAGAACCGGACCCGGTGGGAGCGTCCCCCAAGGAGCAAACCCCTCACAGGTGTCTCCCTGGCTCGCAAGCCATTTAGTGGGGAAACACAAACCAGGCTCCAGGGACCCTGTGGGAGGCGGCAGAGCTGGCCCACGCCCAAGCCCATTCGCACCTTCGCAGGAGCGGCCGTCCACCGAGAGCCGGAAGCCCACGGAGCAGCTGCAGTGGTAGGAGCCGGGAGTGTTCTCACACTTGTGGCCACACAGGCGCCCGGGGTAGCGCTGGCACTCGTTGATGTCTGGAAGAGAGGGGGGCAGCTCAGGGCACCGTCACCAGCAGAGGGCCACACCTCACCCTCTTGCTAATGGCGGCAGTTCACGGCCCACCTGCTTCATCAGCTCTGATGACAGAGGCAAAGTGACTTGTCCCAGCACAGCAGAAAGGCCAGAGCCCCCTGGCGTCCTGTGCCAAGCCCTGTGCTCCTGACACGGTGGCATATATGGACAGTGCCCTCCCACCAGCTCTCCACCCCATGCCCTTAGGGAGGGTCCACTGGGATCTGGGATCCGGCAAAGGGGATGTGGCGGGGAAGCCCCTGCCAGCCCCCACTGAGCACCCTGGTTGGGAGGGAGCGGGGACTGACCCCACTCCTTGTCATCTTTGGCTCCTGCTGCCAGGGACACCTGCAGGTCAGAGCTCAGTCTTGGGAAATCACTAGCACTTCGGCCCCCTGCAGACCTGGGCTCAAGTCTCTCAGGACCTGGGGGTTGGGGTGGAGCAGAACACCCACCCTGCAGTGGGGACAAGCTCACAGTGCGAGGGCCCTGAAGGAGGCCCACGGAGGGGTGGCTGCCCGGGAGCTAAGATGGGTATCCTGGTGGGGCCTTGGCTTGGGCACTCTG